AAACAAAATAACAACTTTGGGGACAGAGGTGAAGAAGATGTATTTGGGAGACACCGAGGGGAAGAAACAGTGGCCGTGAACCTGAACGAAAGACCTCTCTGTACATACTGTACCTGGATTTTTCATCTTTTAGAGCAAGGTGTTCTTTTCTCTAGCCTGGTGAGATTCAAACAAAAGGTTCACCTAAGAGAGGGCATATCTTTATCCCTCCTTTCTTTTAAAAAGGACCCAAGGGACCTTCTGTCATTAAAGGACATTTAAAGATAAAAATAATAAGTATACAAATACTACAAAGGATCCAACAAATTTTTATGACATGCTATCAAGCCACCTCTGGCAACCCTATAAAATAAGGGGTCTCCAAACTCTCCTGTCCCCAACAGCCCTTCTTAGGCCTTGCAAACTCAAGCCTGTGGGTGTCAGGGTTTGGTAGGAGAGGGCACAACCACAGGAACAAGGTAGAAACAAGCTCACAGCCCAGAGACCAACCAGCTGGGTTTTTGAGTCCAAACAATAGCTGAGTAGAAGGATGATACAAATCATGGATAGCCCAGGGGTCAAAGCCCAGAGGAACCATATCAAGGCAGCAGGGTCACAGAATGCAAGAAAAGGCAGGGCAAGAACCAGGTGGCTGGCTGGCAGGCAAGACAGAACCAATACTACAGCACAACCAGAAATGGTTTTTTTTTTCTGATTCAGAGATCTGCACAGAAAGCCTGTTCTTATATAGCCCTGTCCTCAGCTTTCACAGGTGGCACTCCTGAAGAGCTGGTTAACAGCTGCAGGGAAAGGGCCCGGTCCTGCAAACCCTAGAGCAGTTCCCAGAGAAATGGGGCCTATCCTCCCTGCACCAAGGTTGCAGGGCCCCAGCATGCCCCCAGTCCTGACAGTGTTTTATATCTGACCTTTCCATTTCCCATCTTCTCATGATGTACCCAAAGCAAGGCAGCCTCCATCCAACCTTCTTGCCTCCATGCTTGATTTGCTCTAGGATGCACTTGCTCATCTTTCTGGCAGTCCAGGGTATCTTCAAAGCTTTCCTCTAGCACCACACTTCAAATAGTTTTTTTTCCCTTTCAGCGTTCTTCACTGTGCAGTTTTCATATCCATGCATGATGGTCAAAAATACAGGCGTGTGGATGGTCTTGGTTTCTAGTGACACATCCTTACTCTTAATGAGCTTTGATAATTCCTTCACTACAACACTCCCCAATCTCAGTCATCTGAATTCTTGACTGCACTCCCCCTTCAGATCAATTACTGAACCAAGGTTTAGGAATTCACTATTTGAATTTCTTTGTGGTCAACACTGAAGTTCTGTCATTCTTCTGTAGTCATGATCTTTGACTTCCCAAAGTTCAACTGCAGTCCTGCTTTGCCACTTTCCTCTTTATTTGATATCTGATATTATTGCTGTTTTCTGCCAGTAATGATAAGCAAAAGCAACACCAAAAACGTATGCAAAGCAGTAAGATGCAAAATCCATTTAAAAATCCACTCAGCTAGCCAATCATTAAGGAAAACTGCTTGAAGAAAAAGGTCTTTGCTTGTTAAAAGAAAGCAAATATGGGCCCAGCCTGGGCTTCCGGTGGTAAGGATATCCAAAGTCTGAGAGCAGTTAGAGAGAGTTTTCATGGCTTTTGGTTATAATAAATTATTACCTATAAAGTTGCAGAATTTGCATATAGTAGCTGGAATCATTTAGATTAAAAACACTATTTGTATAGGGTAAAATCATATATTCTCCCATAGTGTGATATTAAAATAGTCAGAGGTGTGTGTGTGTGTGTGTGTGTGTGTGTGTGTGTGTGTGTGTGTGTGTGTGAGTGTGAGTGTGTATGTGGGTGTGAGAGCGAGAGAGAGAGAGAGAGAAAGAGAGAGAAAGAGAGAGAAATCCCAGAGGGCAGGACATGTAACAATGGGCTCAAATAACAGGAAGCCATATTTCGGTTGAATATCAGTAAAAAAACTAACTGTTAGAGCAGTAAGGCAGTGAAACCAATTACTTTGAGAGGTGGCATTAAAAAGAAACGTAGACAACCACCTGGCAGATATCCTTTGATTTCTTTTCCTGCATTGAGCAGGGGGTTGGACTCAATGACCTTAGAGTCCCCTTCCAACTTCACTAATCTTTGACTCTATATTTATAATACTTATTCAGTCCTGGTACATATTAGTAAGTTGCATTTTTATTTCTTTCTGAGGTACATATTACATACTTGGTTCAGTCCTTATTGGATTCTGTCAGCCTTATCTCAGTTACATTTTGCATGAGACTCTCTTGTTATTTCTTGTCCCTCTCAATCGCTTTCTAACAGACTTCTGACTGATATCTGCCTTATATAGCAGCCTGGCTAACTACAGTCTCCTTCTGATTCGTTAGTTACATTTTATGCTAATACAACCATCTAGTCCTAGCCAACACATTATAATCATTCGTTCACATATACACACACGGTACATCCTCTGCTGCATAAATATAAATAAAAATAAATAAACCTCTCTCTCTCTCTCAACTGCTTTCTCCTATGTTCCTATCAAATGCACCTGCAGAGGTGGTGGGGCCAAAAAACAACAAAAAACCAAACAAACCTCTCTCATGATGATCTGGACACCCAAGCAGGCTCATAGAGGGAGATGTGGTCCTTCAGAGAGCCTGGAGCCAAGACACTTAGGGCTATCTAAGTTGTAACCAGCATTTTTAATTCTGCCTGGAAACAGTCTGGCAGACAGTGGAACAGAAATCATGTGATTCCTCTACCCAGCCCCAGAGAACCATTTGGCTGCTGCATTTTGGACCCATAGGCCAAAATGTAGAATGTGATACAGTAATCCATCTGAGATGTAACTAAGGCATGTGCCACCATGGCTAAATCCGACCTCTCCAGGAAGAGGTATACTTGGTACAGTGGATCCTCGACTTACGGAATTAATCCGTATTGGAACTATGGCCGCAGGTCAAAAATTCCATAGGTCGAGGGTCCATTTCCCATAGGAATGCATTGAAAACCCATTAATCCATAACTGCCTGAAGAAAAAAATCCGGGGCTTCCAAAGCTGCACCCACTGCCCTCTGTCCCCACTGTCCTCTGCCTCCTATCCCCACGGGGACAGGAGGCAGAGGGCACCGGAGACAGGAGGCAAGAGGCCAGTGGGTCCAGCTTTCTAAGGCTCCAAGGCTGACAGCGGGCATAGGGCAGCTTCCGGCTTCCAAAGCTGTGAGCGGGGAGAGGCGGGGAAAGCCGAAAGCCACTCTGCGCCCACCATCATGTTTGGGCTTTCAGGGCTTAGAAAGCTGGACCCA